ATGACTTAAATGATCGACCAAAGGTTTACAAAAAATATGTTATCTTCACTTGAGGTACCTACATGTAGATCCCCCCATCCAGATCCTCAACGAACAGCAGACAGAACAGTTCTATTTTCGATTACGCATCATACGCACATCCATTTGACATTTATAAAATTATATTCGAAATATTTACTAGTTATAGCCATCGCTAAGTGCCAACGAGCAAGGATTGTACCTATCTACACGTGCAGTTTAATTTGTTCAGAAATGTCATAAATTACAGTAAATTTTGAATAATAGATTGAACTTAATTCAATTGCATAAGCGAAAATTACCTTGAAAGTAGTGCAAGCAAGGGGCACGTTTACACCAACCCACCCATGGGCACAGCTATATCACGTGGGCGTGGCAGCCACGGACATTTATCAGAACTCAGCAGCATGGCATAGCCGTCAGGTCAATGAACGGGGTAAACCCGTCTAAAAGACCCTCTACTGCCGAGGCGTGTGCAAGGCACTCCTTTAAAGCGGGGGGTTCACGGTCATACGCGTGCGCGCCTTGACAGCTTCCGGAATAAATCATACGGGCCAACGCTAAATTCGAAGAAGACATCAACTGCTAATCCAAAGGAATCTGTCTTTAAATTCACCCATCCGTCGCTCTAAGTAAGCAAAGTGAGGTCTGCTATTTCTTAAGTACCCGTAAGTGTTGTTTTGTTTTCGGAGAAAGGCGTTTAGGGGACGAAAACTCAATTTCCTGAATGGAGTCTCAGAAGCGACGTCGCGGGAGACCGGCAACAGGACGTTCTCAAGAGTCTTTGGAGATAGAAAAGCTTAGCCGCTCGATATGGTATGGTTCTAGGAGTAGTGTGTGGTTTCACTTGGAAAGTGGTAAAAAGTATGTGTTTGTTCAACTCTGATTTGACTTATAACTATGCCTTGTATACTGAAAAGTACGCAACAGGCTGCGCGTCTTCACCGATCTGGTACACTTGAAATGTTCCTTTTATCTTTGCTGTATGATCGTATATGTTTAAGAATTGATGTTTTTAAAATAAATTATTGCCTGAATATTCTGTTTATAATCTGGTTTCTTTATCAACGCGAAGGCTGATAAGCAATTGAATTTTTTGCTCAATTTAAGATAATCTTTATACTCATACGCTGTGTGTTTTTGTCACCGGTCGGGCGCTATTTGCAGGTATCTCTAGGTTTATATAAGGCGAACAGAGAGATCAGAATAGAAGGTTTGTTTACAAATTTTGTTTGCCAATCGGTGACTGCTTTGTTAGCGTGGGTACGTAAAAGGCCTCGTAAAAATACACGTAGGTAAATGTTTGTTTTTAAAGCAGGACAGGGCTGTAAATCTTATTCTTATCGGCTACAACATAATTATATCTGAGGGATAGCAAAGAATAAGTATGAATTAGGGGAATATATAAAATCAAACCAAATGTCCGGAAATACTCCCGGGTCGCGAACAATGAATCTGAATTGTGTAAATTTCCTTGCGTGCATCTAACTCGCTTCCGATTGGTTTAAAAACAATCAGCTGCTGACAGAACTCACACATGCGTAGTATCGTGAACTTGTCCTTTTAAGGGGCAGCTCTGCACAACTCCAACCCATGTTTGAGCTGTCGGGGGATCATGGGTTGGTGTATGTGTGCCCCTTGCTTTAAGTTTGTCTTTTGAAAACAGTAAACTAAACTGTTCTATTGCATAAATAATTTGAAGTCCCGACTTTACATAGTAAATTTTTCGAGATATTGAAGTTCGTATTTTTGTCCGAAGTTGCGCACATGTCATGTTGCGTAAAATTTAGTGGTCTTACAACTGATAAGCCAATTTAGAATCCTCGAGAAAATCGTATTTAAGTCCGCGAATATAAGATTTAAGGTGCGCCGATGAAGCCTTCCGAATTATTTTGCTTCCAAGACGCAATCAATTTTACGGCGTCGTTTTTTTCTTAAATTAGCGGCAGGCAAAAAAAAATTTAATCGCGTATTATGCAAATAAATGTCCATCCGACGATTGGTTGAAGACGGGATGAGCACGGGACTCACAAACACGCACACGGCTCGTGGATTCTCTGATCTGTATCACGTGTTCGCTCGAAGCGATTCATTGTCTGTTCTGCATTATGTCAAAAATGTTGCCTTGCATTACTATGGTTGTCTTTACACTGGGATGTTAAGCAAGACTTAAGAGCTGCTAAGTTTTACTTAATCAAAAATTCGTGTGTGAAGTAAAATCTCAAGTGACTTTACTTTGCATCTCATTAAAGTCGGAAAGTTGAAACGATTCAAGAAAGTTTCAAGCGACTTGAAAACCATCCTTAAAACCGACTTAGCTGACTTGCGGTTACTTGCGGTTTTTTTGAGCTTTGAGAAAAGCGAAACATTTCAATCAATCTTAATTATGTTGCGTGGGAAAATAGCCTTAAGTTAACATGAAGTAAAAATGAAGCGGTTGTGTGTGAAGCTTTATTTTACTTGAAGTAATCAAAATTTACTTGTCTTGAAATATTTCTTAGCTTATTTAGACTCTAGTGTAAAGACTACCTATATTTCCTAAATGTTACATCGATTCGAGATTTTTTCTGCCCCTGGAACAATCGCGCACGACTCTATTAGGCTGCCGTCTCGCAGCCTCGTTGGCAATTATAATGTTAAGAGGTTAATCTTTACTTATATTTCTCCATGTTTGAACAGTCTTAAAAGCCTCCAATCGGTCTGGCGTCACCATGTCAACAAAGAAATTATGAACTTGACAAGAACAAAGAGTAGTTATTTACCACCTACTCTACCCCCTACCCTCGGCCAGGGCCGCCTCAAAAGAAATCCCTAGCCCCAGCCCTAAAGGGCTGGAAATGTCCCAGGATATGTCGGGGGGGGGGGGGGGAAGGGGAGAAGGGTTAGTGGTAGCGGGTAAAATTGATCCATGCATTAACATCATTACCTCCATCATCTCCCATTGTAGTACTGCATATCTTGAGAGAAATTTCTGTAATTTCGTGATCTTCGTAATAAACTTGATGACGACTGGTATTGGCAAATCTAAATATTGCAACTCTAGTCTTTTCACGTTGTTTGATCATTCCTGGCAGTTGTCTCTTCGACAATAATTTATTAAATTTGACTGATCGAGATCTTTTTTGATCCAAGGTTCAGAGCAAGTTTGATTGTACAAGTTTTTTTGTATTGGTCTTGCACCTGAACTTTTCAACACCTCCAGTTAAAGTTTCTTCAAAATTTGTGCTTGTTCCATTGTACGTTCGAAGTGTGAACGAACGTTTTTTCATTCCTGCAGATATTCCTCAAAAAGCGGTTTATCGTGAGTTAGCAAGTAATTCTGCTATTTTTCTTTGAAAATCCGTGAACTCTTTCGCTTTTTATAGAGTTCTACACTCACGACAGCTAAGCTTCCGCACCCCTGTCTTTTGCGACGTCAATGCTATATCGCATACTCATTTATTGACGTCAGAGAGACTTACGTCAGTGATGGTATAATCTAAGCATCTGCCAAATTTGTTCAGCGCTAGCGGGTTACGAAGAAGTAGTCGTGGGATTTAAAGTCAATCAGAAACAGAGAAATGTCTTGGGTAAATAATAATATATCCCTATGAGATAAATAGCCAAGATGGCTCCGTGCTATANGGGGGGGGGGGGTGGAAGGGGAGAAGGGTTAGTGGTAGCGGGTAAAATTGATCCATGCATTAACATCATTACCTCCATCATCTCCCATTGTAGTACTGCATATCTTGAGAGAAATTTCTGTAATTTCGTGATCTTCGTAATAAACTTGATGACGACTGGTATTGGCAAATCTAAATATTGCAACTCTAGTCTTTTCACGTTGTTTGATCATTCCTGGCAGTTGTCTCTTCGACAATAATTTATTAAATTTGACTGATCGAGATCTTTTTTGATCCAAGGTTCAGAGCAAGTTTGATTGTACAAGTTTTTTTGTATTGGTCTTGCACCTGAACTTTTCAACACCTCCAGTTAAAGTTTCTTCAAAATTTGTGCTTGTTCCATTGTACGTTCGAAGTGTGAACGAACGTTTTTTCATTCCTGCAGATATTCCTCAAAAAGCGGTTTATCGTGAGTTAGCAAGTAATTCTGCTATTTTTCTTTGAAAATCCGTGAACTCTTTCGCTTTTTATAGAGTTCTACACTCACGACAGCTAAGCTTCCGCACCCCTGTCTTTTGCGACGTCAATGCTATATCGCATACTCATTTATTGACGTCAGAGAGACTTACGTCAGTGATGGTATAATCTAAGCATCTGCCAAATTTGTTCAGCGCTAGCGGGTTACGAAGAAGTAGTCGTGGGATTTAAAGTCAATCAGAAACAGAGAAATGTCTTGGGTAAATAATAATATATCCCTATGAGATAAATAGCCAATATGGCTCCGTGCTAAACTTTGGATCCATTTTAAGAAATGATTTAAAGGTTCTTTTTCTGGTTTTTGTTAGTAAGCATTTTCTTTCCTTTGAAAAAGCTTTTTTGGTTTATTTAAGCAATAGACAGCACTTTCTATGGGTTTACCGGTGTGATAACCCACGCGGGATGTTGGGAGAACACGAGAAAAGCTTGTAAATCACGAGCCGAAGGCAAGTGATTTACAAGTTTTGCGAGTGTTTCCCCAACATCCCAAGTGGTTAATTGCGCCGGGAAACCCATAGAAAGTGTGGTCTTTTACTTTTATAAATAATTTTAAGTTTTCTATGAGTTTACCAGCACAATAAACCATAGGTTTTTAACCAATCAGAACGCTCGTACTATCTGAGTTATTTTATAATTAATTACTATTAAACAACAGAAAAAAACTACCAGACAGTGTAATACGTCACCGTGTCAGTGACTAAGGGAATCATCTTCGATTTTTAGCGACTTTGCCTGTTAAATTTTTATTTCCAATCGGAGAAGATATATTGCTTATTTAAATTTCACACTCACCATTAAGGCAAGGGTCCTGTTCACAAGTTCGAGTTTCAGAACAAATTCCATTTATGCAGGGTCTATTGCGTGACTGTGTTCCAGAGCCACAAGTAACACTACACTGACTCCATTCGGACCACTGTGGATTACCATGGGTCGATGTCAGGTCGCCTGTAGTAAGAAATAAAATAATAATAATAATAATAATAATAATAATAATAATAATAATAATAATAATAATAATAATAATAATAATAATAATACTAACAGAAATAGTAATAATAAGAATAGACGCCTCAAGCTGATTCTGAACTCAAAGCTTCTCCTAACCCCGCCTGCCAGAGATAACTTGAAAATCACACCGACAAAGTTAATAACAAAGGCATGCAAGACTCTATTTTCTAATTGCAGTAGTAACGATGACGATATAGTATAATGATACAGTGATGATGATGATGATGATGTTAACGATGATGGTGATAAAATAATAATCTTAATCATAATCATAGTTATAACTATAACAATCATAACCATGAACTAGAAGTGAAATCAATTATAAGGAAGGCAACTGACTTGAGGAAATATTGACTTACTGCAAACCATTTTCTTTATTGGATCGACAAAGGGTGTATATCCTAAGGTTTTGTCTTCATACATGATCAATACATTGTCTCCTCCTATTTCCCTAAGCACTGTTGTATTAATCTGAGCTTCTATTCCGTAACCGACAGCAAATATACTAACGTTTTGCGCCTGCGAAAAAAAAACTGGTAATTAGAAGTGGTGCCTTCAATTTTAACTATTCGCTCTACATAATCACGGAAAGGAGGTATGATTCTCACCTGGGCGGGGGGAGGCACTAAACATAGTTTGATACTTGCAGGCTACGCCCTAAAGTCTACCCCTTTTCTTTTGACATACACCTAATTGCAATAACGTTGTCTTAGAAAAATGAAAAAAAAAGCCAAATAGGAATAAAATAGGCTGATAAGCCTAATGAATTCATTTGCAACATCTGCACCTGGACGTCGTTTTTGCCTGTTGGAATTTGCTATTGTTTTAAAGCTGAAAATCTAGCGGAGAAATGTAACGGCTGCAAATGAATCCACCATGAGAACGTGGCTAAATTAGCTGAATTAATTCCTTTTTAGCTTTTTCCTTTTTTCATTTTTCTATGACAACGTTTTTGCAATTGGGTGTATCCCTTTTAACAGAACAGTTATCCCTTTGGTATACCTTCTGATGACAAATTTCACATGCTTCGCTAAACCAGAAGTTTTTTTTTATAAATAAATAAATAAAAAATAAATTGGTTTATTGCTACCTTTTGCAGTGAGAACTGAATTACAGGTAGGGTCAGAAATAACGGGAATCTAAGGTAATAAATAATACAAAATAAGTATGTAAAGCGCTTAGGAATCTAAATAGGTGGCATATTTGCACGTTACAAACTGTGCAAAACGGTCGGTGTTGGTTTGTTTGGATACAACGTTGGTATTCCTTCTAAGATCGTATTGGGATTCCCTAGGCTGGGACCTACTTAAAATAAGCGCATACAAAGGGTTGCCAGGAGAAATTTTTGAGATAAACCTTATACATGCACGCACTTTGGCACTTTGGCACTTTTTGACAGTCATAAAAAGCGTCTAGCCATTTTAGGTCCTCTAACAAATCTAAAAACTTTTTTAAATAGAGACATTGTAATAGGCCATTTGCCATAAGAGGTCATGTGACATTGTCTTTATGACAATGGAAGTTACATAATTTTGCTTTCGTAAAACGATTAATGGGTCATATCTTAAACAAAATAATAGTGATTTGGTTTTTCAAACCTGCACCATTTTCTTAAAATGAGTAAGTTCGTAGCCGGTCACTTAGCCAAAATTGTAAAATTATGAATTGCCTCTTTCTGAACACAAATTTTGCACTTAAACTTCAAGGAAAATGATGTGGCAACGTTTACAACACATCTGAGCGTAACTATCAAACGTTTAACAGGATATAAGCAAAAAGTGGTTTTGGCCGCCATGTTGGAGGGCAAGAGTATGCCCTCCAACATGGCAGCCAATACAAATCATAATACTTTGCTGAAAAATCAAAGTGTCATAAAATATCTCCCTAAAGTGCGTTTCCTCTCAAACTTCGGGTGTAAGATACATTTTATATGCTCTGTCAATTTTTGGCATCTGTAAGATTCCAACTCATTGTTTAAAGGAAGCATTGGTCACGTGACCTCTTAGTGCAAGTGGCCTATTTATATGTTTTTAGATTAGTTTGTTGACGTAATGCGGCTGGTTAGTTGGTTGGTTGGTTGGTTGGTTTCTTTCGAGAAGAAAAATCACATCTCTTACCCTTAAAAAAGGTAAAGATTTGTTGAAAAGAAGGAACGTTTCTGGTGGAAAAGGCCTCCCATCCGTGAACACGAGTAACACATTTTGCTTATCTTCTCTGTCTCCTGCACTTAAAGTAAACAGCTCGTTTTTGGCTTGTAGCAGGGCTAGGTCGATTCTTGTTATGAACTGTCTAACTGGTTCAATAGTACTGACGTTTTCTGCCAACGTGAACCTCAAACGACTGTATTTGTCAAAGGTTATCAAACCAAACTGGGTTTTTTGCGCTGATATTTCGAATTTGGCATAGAATGGCTTTAAAAACGTTTCCAAAAAAACCTCAAGTTTCCTTTGAGGAATACTTAGTGACGTGTCGATAAGGATTCCAATGTCTTTGTTACAAGGGGTTGAATCAGCTGAAATAGAACAGAAATTAAGATTAATTGTCGTATTCCCTATTTAGAACTTGTGCAAGATAATGTGAGTAGTATAGAAAGGACCAGTTGAACCCCATATTTTGGGCAGGAATCTTACTAACTTGCTCAAGAATAATTAACCCTTTCACTGCCAAAAGTGGCCAAAGTCAAATTTCAACAAAATCTCCAATTGTATTTTGGTAAAATGCTGTAAAATCAGATTAATAATACAATGTGAAAGTACTGACAGAGAGGTTTCATTTGAATGGTCACACCGCAGGATTTCGTCCACAGATTCGAAAGTTAAAACCAGTTTACGAGACTCCTTCTTTTATCCTGGCAGTGAAAGGGTTAACGCCTGTAGCGTCACGGCCCCTTAAAAAATAGTCTTTATCCCGAGAATACAATGCGGTGGAATCTCATTTACATAAGTTATATATAGGTCTATTCCATTCTTAGACTAAAAACTTACAAAAGTATTTATTTGTTGATTGTAGAAGGAATAACCGCTAACTCAACTGTGACTTAAAATTCAATGAGCCGTAACATAATCATGCAAGTTCTATGTCTTGCCGATTCCATTGTCCATCGCAGACAATCTATTGTCATACAAAGGGCCGTGACGTCATCGGCGTTAATATAGTCGTGTGCAAGTTGATGAGAATCTTGCGTAAAAAAGGGATCTAACAGTTTCCTACTATACTACATGCGCAAAAATGTCGCTTATCACACAGTAATTTTTAAGGAGTTATAATAACTCATCTAGTGGGGTTAATTTAACTCCTTACAGTGGAGTTATTTTTTGGGAGTCATTGTAACTCCAAGGAGTTTAAAGAACTCTTTTTCAGGGGTAAAAATGACCCTAGATATCGAGGAGTTAAAATAACCCCAAAAGAGGAGTTATCCTGTACCTAAAATTTTTACCCCACTTTCAGAGTTAAAGTAATTCCAAAAAAAGTAAAAACAACCCATGTAACGAGTAAAAATAACACCATTTATGGAGTTATTTTAACTCCAGACTGGGAGTAAAAAGAACTCTCTTTGAGAAGTAAAAATTACCCCAAATTTGGAGTTAAATTAGGAGTTAAAGTAACCCCCAAAAAGGGGTTTTCCTGTACCTAAAATTTTTACTCCATTTTTGGAATTATATCAACTCCCTAAAAATTACTGTGCAGATTTTGTATATGAAAAAGACAAGAATTAGACATAAATTAGTAAAACATATTTAGAAACGTCATAGAATTGGACTTTTTCTTACCATTAGTACTGATGATGTAAAGTAAAGTGAAAAGGATAAAGATCTTCAGCATGATTCTGATTTCCTGCAAAAAGTAAATAGCATTTAGCTTCTCAGAAATTAATTTTGAGGAAATGAAGATGTTTTAGAGGTTAGGTTGAAGTGCTTTTTCCCACATTGAAAACCTTTAGTGCTTTTTGGAGGACTCAGGAAGCTTAGTCATTAAATAATGACCATTTGTGAAAAAGATGACAAGAAAATATTTTGATAGAAACCGTTCTTAATATCGGCTGTTCACTTAACTTCTCATTTGTTTTGCTTTTATATTCGGAGAAAATGGACGTTCACTTGTGGAAACCTCAAAAATGTGGGCAAAGATTAAACTTTGTCAGAAAAATGATACTTTCCTTCCTATGGTTTGACTCATGACTAAAGATGGCTCCAAATGATTCAAATGTGCAGGGGAAAAGGGAGGTTGCTTTTGTGTACTGCAAGCATATCGATACATGTGTTTCCTAAAAAGCCACAGTTGATCGAAGGGTACAAATTCTTGCTGGATCTAACTTTTGCCCTGGATTTTTTTCCTTGTAATTTTAAGGAATGTGGCTAATTTTAATTTGGGTGGTAAAATAAGTGCCTATCAATCAACTTAGGGAGCGTCCAAATAGAACTGTTTATTTCTAGTGAAGGGATGACTGTTATCTTAAAATCATGCCAATATCATTTCCCTTTCACCGGTGAAAGCTTGCAAACAAAAATGTTAAGAATAATATGTTTAGTTTCCTGTTCTACTGTTCAAAAAACCCAAGCTCACTTATCATCGACCTCCCTACCGCGTTTTGCGTCCCTAATTCACGATTAAATTTTTCATGGAGCTTTTAGAGAAATATTCTCACTAAGTATTATCTTCCACATGGCAGACTTGGAGATAGGTGATCTGATTTCAAACACAGTCGTTTGGACTTAGACATATAAGCCAGCTCATCTTTTACCCAACGAGTTCTAATATCGGGACAAAATGTTTGCGTCCAGTTCTCAATCGTATAACTTTTTTGACAGATAATTTTATACATAATTATTCCATTTCCTTTATGCTCGTCTGGCGTTTTGCTAGCCTGCCAGAACCGCACCGGTGGGGATGTTTTGCGAAGAGGACCGTCTTCGACTCAGCGACAAAAATTTCATACGGATGACGTAAATGATTGTTTAATAAATCCGGTAGTCGTGGGGTTCCAAATGCAAATTTGTTCCATTTTAGGTTTTTTTACTGGTCGATTTTGGTAAAGTGTTGTGTTCATCTGCGAACGAGCACCGGCAAAACACAAATGCTTCTTCTAGAGAAGAATATATTCCACAGTCATTGACTGTTTTGTTATAGATTCATCGCGTTTACATTTGACCTTTTTAGCCTTTTGTCTGTCATTCGTAAACAATAGCTAAAACAATATAACTACTCCGTCTGCTAATCAGCGCTTCCTACGGGATCCCAGACAGATTTTAGTTCATCAGTATCGAATTTCTGTCGCTGAGTCGCAGAAGATCCTCCTCGCGAAAAGTCCCCAGCGGCGAGGAGCGGGGAGAAACGGTTCTTTTCGCAGGCTAACGTTTGGCAAGCGACCAGAGGAGCCCGCAATCCTAATCTCCATGTTCTAGTGCAATTACGCATGCTTGGCACGTACATAGCCAGCATTTAATTGAATGGATAGAACGCAAAATCTCATCACGTGCCTTTGGACCTTCTATCAGATCATTCACTTAAATCACGTGAAACGGAAAGCACCGACTTTGGAGCAAGAGCGTTTTGACCTTCGATCAAAGGCCTGAAACTAGTTTTAAGAACACTGTCGCTTTCGTAACGCTCTTTTTGTTGAAGGAATGCACCAATATTCTATCAGTTGTTTTTCAGTGCTTCCACACGAATCTTACATCCGCCAAATCTTTTTCCTTAAATTAGCGCTTTTTAGAAGAAGGAAAGAACAATATATTTTTTTTTTTTGAAGTTGCGTTATTATTTACCGCAGCAAGTCATTTTGGGGATCGATTCAATTACGCGGTAAAACGTCATAAATGCCTATGAAATAAACGCTGATTCATTCATTCAATTTCCACCGATCAACAAAACAAATTTTTCATTTCGCGAGTACTTAATATATGTTCTTAAGTTTAGGTCTCAGCAGACAACCATGTTGAAAGTTTTACATATCTCTCGATTTTAAGTGAAGTGAAGTGCCTTTTTTTTGGCCCAACGAAGCTCTGCATTAATCGTCATCAATAAATTCTGTTGATTGGTAGGGGTACAGTTTTAAACGAAAAACTAAGTTGAAGTAAACCAGCTATACCAACAGTGGTCTTGTTTAGCTATGAGTCGGTATATATTTTTGAAGAAAAAGGTTCTTAAAACGCCTAAACCAGCTCGCTAACGCATGGCTTTCGGAAAAGTTTGAAAGTGGCGATTAGCTGTCATGGTGAGTGTTCTAGACCTCAACTGGGTGGACTATATGGGTAGCTTGTATGGTTCTGATGTTTCCCACTGTTTTTCCATGCGGATAAATTGGATTGAATTATATTAGATTGTATTTAATACATGCTGTAAACGCTTTGTAATTGTTTACAAATTAAGGCGCGTTTGAATCTAACTTCGTTGAGAAGAATTGAGGTATTTTTCAGCGAACAAATCGCGGTTTTGTGACAGTTAGTGTTCTTCTAATATTAAAGCGATGAAAGACAAACCGTAACCATATAATTTCTCTTGACTTACCAGTCTTTGAGGGTCCGCTCGTATTCAATCTACAAGTAAGCTTTGTAGACCTCTCCGTAGAACAGGGCGTTAACAAATGATAAGAGAACAGACTTTCTGTCATATTAAACCAGGGCAAAAAAAAAGCAGACAGACGCTTTTTACATTAAATGTAATATGTGCATGGTGAAAACGTTATGAGTTGCATAGGCCAATCAGGCTTTTTAACTTTCTTGACAGCAAAGTTGACGAGACACGAAACGCATAATGCATTCATTATAATTCTCTGACTGAAACGGGCGCGTGGCCAAAGCAATAAGCTAGCTGGCATGACAACCTGATTTTGTCTCGAAAATAGAGTCATTACATGTATTCGCTGTGCTGAACCGGCTTTAGGTTGTTTGTTTGTCTTTTTAATCAAAATAGTACTGGATCGCAGGCTTTTGGAACTTGTGGAACAAAATATTTCTTCCTGACAGTTTTTCGCTTTGGAGGAAAAAACCTAATGGTCATTGTTAAATTGTAAGCCACATGCATCACATTTAAAGAAAAACTTGTTATTTGTAAAATAAATTATAAACATAAAGTCTTGTTTTGCTGAACATTTTTAGTTAAGTGGCCATAACCAAAAAATATTGGGGGGTCAATTAATATCATATGTAACATGTAAATTAGAAAACACTAGCGAAGAAAAAAGAGCTTAAGAGCGAGAAACTGGCCATTGATGGTGGATCAAAAAATAATTTTTTTCATATTCTAAACTAATTCTAAACTTATTTTACCTTTTTTCACGTTATGGGCATCAAATATCATGGAATATCTGCAAAAATCTTACCCCGTGTACAGCCGCCCCCTCCTCCCAAAAAAATATATCCGAACTCGGATTTTTTCTAGGGGCAGGGGGGGGGGGACGTGTGAGGGGCGGCTTTACACAGTCAAAATCCTAGTCATCCGAGTAAAAAAATGAATATTAAACAGATAAAAATAAATATAAACATAACTTTTAGCTTCCATACCAGTAGTACTGAGGATGTAAAATGAAGTGAAAAGGAAATAGATCTTCTGCGTGATCCTACCTTTCTGCAAAAAGTCGCAAACATTGAAGTTGAATTGTTTGGGAGATTTTTCCAGTTGAAACTTTAGGTTTAAGTTTCTAACAGAAGTGTTTTTACCTGAGTGAAAGGCTGAGGTTGAGTGAGGGAGCCATTCTTATTGTCACCATACACTTATTATACTGCGACAAGAGCCATAATGGCTCTTGACTGCGAAGAATCCCCAGACCAGCTAAATTCCTGTCATGGGAGGGGCTAGTGTTCTGCCGTTTTTGCCGTTGCATTACTTTGTGAAGCATACATGACGTGAAAATAACGAACGGTCAAAGAGTCCTGGAACAAGTTTGAAAAACATGGCGGCAGAATTAGTCTGTTTATGGCTCTCTAAGACGTTTTCGGGAAATTTTCTCCGCGCAGTCCCAGTCTAACGGGTTCAGGTTAAATTCAAAGGAAACCAAAAACCCTACGTTTTAAAATACGTGATGGTTTTCCTGGCACGAACAACAGATGCCACGATTTCAGTAGTTGCTCTCTCAATCCAAGTACTCGCACGCGTACGTGGTTACCCATTAAAAATTGCGAGTTGTAAGTGGGGAAAAATCCGAGAGATCCTGGCCATAATCTAAGGTAAGATCTTGAAAATGATGTTTCTTGTGATTTATTTTACGCTGGTATCCATATAGAAATTGTTATGTCACAAGTCACAACATAGATCAAAAGGGCAGAAATCCTATGATCCTGCTATATTTTTAGGACCTCGTCGTGGCTCATATGCAGCCGTAGCCTGTTGGCAGAATTGTGATTACATATATTAAGCCAAAATGAATGTAATAGATAGAAACTTCCAAATAATCATTTATACCCATAGGCGAATCTTTGCTAACGTCATTGTTTACAATTTTCCTCATTAGCATACGACTTAACTCATAGAAGCCGTGGCCGTATATACGAACTAAATGCAAAAGTTGAAAGAGCTGATTAATTTGAGCAATTTGTTCAATTTTCAGCCCTTTGCAAGCAATATTGAAGGAAATATGAGCCATCAAAAACTCTGAAATTGCTGTGTGGCAAAAAAGTTAATGAGCCATACATTCTCTGTAAAATTTCGAGTTTCTAGAAGAGAATTTCTGCGAAACCATTCGGTGTATTAGGCTCAAATTTTCAGAGATAACTGAAACTGTTATGCACATTCAACATTCAGAGTCTCTATTTTATTAGCATCATCAGAAAGTGATAAGCATATTTTAATGAGGCAAAAAGTGTAAACATTGATTCGCCTATACT